ATGAGCACATAAAATCCCAACAATCTGTGTCCTGCAGCCTTTGAATATGCATTTGCTGAATTCCCTTCTCAATTCCTTCAGCAAAGCACAATCAAAACCTGATTCAGTTTCCCTGATTTCACCGTTTTCCGAGCCCAATCAGTCACTAAAACCGCGGTAGAAGATTCCGTAGAAAGCAAAGAAAGAGATGTCTTCCCACACATTGTCTTCAAAACAACCATAGCAGGAGTAAATACTACTGTTGTTGAACCAACATTAGGACCAAATCATATAATTGAGAAGCAATCAGATAATTGAGATATGAAAGAAAGAAAAGAAACCAAAACAAAACAACTGTACCAAAAGCTCGTAGCTGGATTATCAATGATTCTAGCGTTAAAACTATCTTAAAAAAAAAAGTTTCATAAGCATTTTCCTGAAGAATCACAGTCCTCTGACGAATTAATGCATGGTGCAGAGAATATAGACGATTGCAGGCTGAAAGTATCGAGCCAAAAAGTCAATTTTCTTATCATGATCTTTTCCTTGCTATACAGAATGGTTAATTGATCTCTACTAACAGATCGAGCCCTTTTGCAGAATAAGAGAAAATTTAGTCTCCTTGTGCGAGATTTAGCAAGCAGGTATACAGATTTCTCAGCTCCGAAGCTAGTTTTCTCAGCTGCATCCACAAGAAACATCAAGGAAGAAGGCAAAGTGGATTAGAAAGCAAAGTGCTGGTAGACACATAGACACACACACACACACACACTTACTGTAATTCGGCCAAGATGGAAAGTAAATGGAATGATGTCAAGGAAGAAGGCAACACAATGTTGCGTATAGTAGTTATCTCCACGGCGAGCTCGTACAACAATCTCCTGACTGTATGCAACCACATACCCTATGAGCCAGAGGAACTTGTAATTCATCTGCATCCATTATACGCACGCACGTATAAGAAGTCACATCTTTTTTCAGATGAACATTGAATATGTTTAAATACCAACATTGAATATGTTTCCAACGATCATAAAAAAGTTCCGCCAAATTTCCTGCTTATACTACTTCTACTTGTTTTAATTATGTTCGAACAGAGATTTGCTGCACATAATGCCATATGATCAACATACTACGATTAGAAGATAAGTTTACTGTCACGATGCTAAACTGGTCTTTTAGACTGCAAGTAATGCACCTCTAGCAAACAACTGTTGGAAGAATTGTATTGGTTTTATTTACCTGAAAGGTGACTGAACCAGCACACAACATAGCAGCTGAAGGCGTTACACCAAAAACATACATTTCAAGCCTATCCCGTCTGTCTTTAGTTACCACTCCAAAACACAAGAAGATTGCAGCAGCTCCGGATGTAGCAAGGAGAACGTCTCTGCGAATCAATGAAATTCAATTTACATTCTGGATTGTATTGACTAATAAATGAAGTTGCAAATCCTTCTGTTCTATCTTCCGTTGCCGGGCCTAATCATGTGCAGGAAATTTTGTTCCAGAAGGAGCAAAACTACTGTAAAGAACAGATGCATGCATATCTATTGCATTAAGATTTTCGTTTGGACAATAATTTTCGTCCAGTTCAACTTTCTTGCACTGAATAATCAACCGAGATCTGTTTGGTTAAAGAACAGAAGGCAGGAGCTAAGACTGGGATAAGTTCCGTTAATAAGACTGTGGCAAGGGCCATGACAACCGGAAGCTAAGTAATTAACATATTCCATGACGGAGTAAACCTTTAATCCCTGAGGGATAGTTGAGTACCGCACAAGGACTAAGATGACACTAAAATTAGTTACTGTCAATAATCAATATACAGTGTTGGACGAGATACAACAACAGTTCAAGAAAAGATATACTGCCAGCCAAGAGATGAAGCTAATATATATATTTACCGTCTATCAGCTGGGATGAGAGAGTTAATCAGACTGCCATCTGGGGCTCCTTTAAGAAGTCCAGCAGCTGCTTTATCCATTGCAATGAGGGGGCCAATCTGAGGACCAACATTTAAGGCCCCATTGAAGACCGTATTCTTTCCTTCACCAATTGTGCCGAGAAGGTCAACCACTGGAGCCAAAGAAACTCCGATGCAAAATCCAATTACCATCAAGAGAGTGACTCTTTGTCTCTGTGTTAACGAAAAGAGAAACAATGACACAGTTTAATTAGTCTGAGATAATTAACAGCACGCGATTGGAAAGTACTAAAAGGAAGCTTGGTTATGTAAAGGGCTGATTAGAAGCAACAGTAGCGAAATTAAACCTCTTTCCATGGGTTTGTCCGCCAAAACCATGCAGAGCTTCCTATGATTCCAAGAAACGTGACTACGCCCCCAAGATTGGCATGGATATCCAGCGCATATCCAAGAGACATGCATGTTAGAGCAGCAAAAAGTGTGAGGTAAACCTGCATTGATTAGTCGATCAATTAAAGAATCAAATCAGTCTTTTTATAGAGTTTATAAATGGAAAATCAGTCTTTTTCATAAGACATTTAAGACGAGCAGAACACAAATGCGATCAAAACTGGACACTGGTAGATACAACCTCCGTGAAAATGATTACCATATGATCAAGTTCAAAAACCAGTCCATGATCATTAGATGTCAAATGATCAGTAAAGAAAAAAATGAACGAGACTATATAAAAGATTACTCAGCTTAAATTCACTTCCTTAATTCGTTGATAAGAGTAAAAATATCGCGAAGACAATAAACTTAATTTTGATTCACTCACGTCACATCATCAATTTTACTTGGTGGACTTTTCAAATCAACAGGCAATAATAATACTGATCATGGTCAACAAATAAGTAATAATCTTTTCTTCGTTTTCTTTCTGTTGCTGATCATAATCAAGAAAACCAATCATTTCTTTATGTAATTATTCACATTTTGCATGCATGCAATCATCCAATGACAAAACCTACGTACTCCAGGCTCCAGCACTCTCTGTTTTTACCCCTAACAAAACTCATCAAGAATTTCTTTCAGATAACAAAAACCCACAAAATGACTATCACATCCAACTTTACGGTTCTTCTGCTCGAAGAGTCGTGTTCCAGAGATCATGAAACATCCTCAAGAACTAGCTAGTCTCGAGATTATTCTAATTAACTGAAACAGAGAACAAAACTACCCAAGTAATAAAAATTCCACCACTATTTTCCTCCATCAATTCCAACATTTTCCCGGCAAGATAATCCGGCAACTTATTTTTTGTGCAGTAGTGTAAAAATTTTCAAAAAACCCAGAAGAATAAGCATAGCAAGATCAGAAATATACTAACAAAATTAAAAAAGAAAAAAGAAATTGATGATTACTTTGGAGAGGTGAGCATGGATGAAGGGAGAGACTTCTTCAAGGTCCATCAAATTCTCGTACGTGAAGTCCCTGTTCAAGCGATTTGTTGCTGCCGCCAATGCACGGTTTCCCCACGGCATGATTCTTATGGGTAAGTATTGAGTATGAAATGAAACTGAAGTCTGCAGAGAAAGAATGGAGATGGCTGAGGAGGTTGGAAGGTGGTTAATATCGTTGCTTTCAGGAAGCAAAATAAGAGTAGAATACAAGAAGATTTTGATTGCCCTTTTCTTGGCGGTTATTATAGTTTCGCTTATTTATGGGCTGAGATAAAGATATATTTTGGGGTGTGGTGAAATTCGTTGGGGGTATTCTTGGGAAAGTGGGAACGAGTTACTTGTTGCGATTTCGCGGGAATGAGCTGAGCTGGTTGAGTTTTTCAAATTCATGCTATGCAGCAAAAAATTGCGTACTTTCTTATGAACTATTATTAATAACTCACATATTTTGCACAAGAATATAAAACTAGTAATAATTTACGTGCTTTATATGTGAATATATTTTTTAAAAAATATATAACACTTAATATACTAAATTTATATATAAAACCTTTATTATTGGGATAAATATAAACAAAAAAACTATATAACGAATAAAATTAAACAGTTAGTAGTTGTACAAAATGTTTATTGTATACAAAGCAATTAAACATTTGTTATGCATTCTACAATTACAAAAACTTTGAAAATGGAAGATCATCATATTTAAACTAAATTGTCATTATTATATTGACTAAGAAACCATACAATAAACAAAATTAAGCAATTGCTAGTTGTGCAAAATGTTTGTTATATACAAAATAATTAAAAATTTATTGCGCATATTACAATTACAAAAACTCTAAAAATGGAATATTATCATATCTAAACTAAATTGTTGCATATTTTATTTGGATTGTGATAGTAAAAGGAGGAAATTTTCTATGTTGTGTCAAACCGATGCATGCAACAAAACTTGAAAATGTATACTAAAACATTTTGATTTGGATACAATAAATTTTTGTCAATTTTGGTAGTTGTAAACCTTTTCTGTTCTGTTATTTTTTTTATAATTATCGATAAAAAATTTTTGGGAGTTTTCTTGATCAATATGACATAATGTAGTGGATTTAATCATCAATTTAACCTTTTATTTTTCCATTAATTGTTTATAACCTTTTGCCTTCTTATTAATTGTGATTTTCTTCTAAACCAATATGTATATAAAATATACTTAACTTTAATTTTCACACATAGCAATATAATAATTGGAGATAATTTTAACACACACAATAATTGGAGATGAGGGAAATGATTAGGGAATATAGTTGTAAATGGGTAGTTTTTAATTTTGATTACCAACATTTTTGAGATGTAATTTATTGAAACTTTTCATTTTTCTTATCGGTGTCATGATTAAAATACAATAACTCTAATTAAAAGACATCAGAATAATTTAGGCATAATAAAAACTAATATCAATATATGCTTACATTCTTACATTCTCTGTTGTTAAGACTCGTCATACTTTTTATATAGTAATGACAATGATAAACTTCTACCTGTTCTCATTTCTCAAATGTTTTCCATAATTCTAACCAATCACTCTGTCACTCCTCGCCTTCATTATAATCGAAAATCAAGATATACATAAGAAGCTTTTATAATCTAACCAAATACTCTTTTTGCTGCAACATTTTTGTTTTTTTTTTTACAAAATCCTTAAATTATCTCTAGACACACAAAAGTAAGTACATAAAAAATTTCCAACAAGCAGCCTCTTGTTTCTTACAATAGGAAAGGGAATGTGTGAGGGGGAATGGAAATCTCTTGCAGTTGGCTATTGGTTTGGTTCACTTGTCATGACCAACATAAAGTAGGAGGATCGCAGCCTCTGCGTCAGACCATTTGTCTCCTGCATTATTTTGCTACGTTTGCCATTCCCCACAGCCCATATAAGTACCATAGAAAGAAGGACGCGTGAGGGGCTGTGGCCTATCTGGAATTTCAGGAAACTCAATGTCTCCTTCCAACATTTTCATTGCATCCAAAATTGTAGGCCTTATTGCCTCTGTTACATGAGCACATAAGATCCCAACAAGCAAAAATTTCTCCATTACACCCTTGGAATTTGCATTTGCTGAACCTGAATCACCCTCTCCACCCTTCAACAAAGCAGAATCCAAAACTTCATCCGTCTTCCCTGATTTCACCATTGACCAAGCCCAATCAGCGATTAAAATGGCTTGAGACGACTCAGAGGAAGACCAAGAAAGAGCCTTCTTCCCACACATAATCTCCAAAACCACCACTCCGAAGCTGTAGACATCACTCTTCTCAGTCAATCGCCCGTAAAGGGCATATTCAGGAGCCAGATATCCATATGTTCCTGCCACTTTAGTTGTTAGATGAGACTGCCCCTCTCTGTTTTCCTTAGCCAACCCGAAATCTGCAATTCTTGCCCTCATCTCAGCGTCCAGCAGGATATTTGTGGGCTTAATGTCTCTATGATAAATTGCTGGCTTTACTCCATAGTGCAAATAGGATATGCCTTTTACAACATCCAATATTATGCTTTTCCTTTCAGGCCAGCCAAGTGGTTGCTTCCTGGTTCCTTCTTTAGACACTGGAAACAAGTGGGAATTTAGATTTCCATTAAACATATACTCATAAACAAGATATCTATGACTCTCGTGTTGTCCATCATTTACTACTCCATCTGTCGCGCAGCAACCTCTGAGCGGCACAAGGTTTCGATGCTTTAAGTTACTAATGATGTCAACTTCATTCAGAAATTCTTCATTTCCTCGAATATCCGACTCCATAATCTTTTTCACCGCAACAGCAGTACCATCATCTAGTATTCCCTTGTAAACAATCCCAAATCCACCTTTGCCTATTAGATTCGTGGAAGAGAAATTGTCAGTAGCTTTCTGGAGCTCATGAATGCTGAACCATGTAGACGTATTAGGCCTCAAGGCTGGTAGAGCTGCTACTTCCTCAAATTCCAAATTAGACTCATTGTCATTGCTGCTTCTTCTCCTCTTCATCTGCCAATAATACAGCCCTAAGAACATAGATATCACCAGGACCGCGAGACTTGCCCCAGTTAGTCCCAAGATCAGTGCTAAATGTGGCTTATGGGAAGATTTCCTTTGGGAGCTAACTGGAAGGTTGAAAATGCAGTCTATATCACCATAATCTTCAGTGCCAAGCTTGTTGACAAACGCTGCAGTGTACAAAATTGTGAAATAAAGGCAGTTCAAAGAGTGAGACTGGTTACCATCGATTGCACTCAACTGTGCCTGAACTTGAAAACCAGCAGAAATACAGGCGCTGCAAGCACTGGGATCATTGAGATCAGAGCTGCAGGCAGAGTTGAGGGCAGTGGAGGGGCCAAGCTTATTGTTCCAATCTTGAGCAGTCTGGATGGAGGCACAGACATTTGGTGAGATCACAAATTGCATAGGATCAAAGCAGAGAGAAGTGAGATTGGAGGGAAAAGAGAGAGAATTGAGCTTGGATTGGAAGTCGTCGAGGCAAGAAACAGAAGTTGGTAAATCAGGTAGCTGGAATCGAGAGGTTTCTTTAAGTCTGTTGGCAAGTGCTATGCCAATGAGAGACAGAAGATTCTGACAGCAATCGCCGTTCCCTGAAGTGGAATTAACAGAGCTGTTTGCTTTCTGTGGGGTTTTACTTGAACCTGAGAAATTCTCGCAGGCTGTAGTTGTCCATGGGATTGCTAGGACATAATTCAGGTCAAGGGGGCATGCAGGGGATGAAGAGATTGAAGCATCGGAAAGAACAAGACAAAGTCCTAGGAAAAGAACCGCTACTAAGGACTCAGAATTCATGCTGACCAATGTCTTTCTAGCTGCCTAGTATCTGGTTTCGGTTCTATGTTAAAATTGGTTTTCAGGTGGATCAGTCTGGTAATGCACTGCAAGAGATTTTAAAAGGAAAATCTTGAATTATTAGACAATAGAAATTATTGATTTCTTAAAACACAAAATCACATAACAAAACTAAAAGATCAAAATGGAAAATTGACATAGGTGTTGATTTTACATAGCCTGTCATTTTCCTAATTATGCAAACATCTGAAGAAGTTCAGAAGTGAATGTAGATTCATTAGGGCAATAAAATTGTCTGCAGCTCATTCCCTGCGTGGATGCGGGATTACGTAGCTGAGTGACGGCTCGGCACGAACAAATGGTGGAGAATTTTTCTTTACCCACACACATAAAGCAAATTTTCAAAATAATTTAAAGCCGCCGGCTGCGCGACTTTTTCTTTTCATTTTGTTGAAAGAAGGAAAATAGTACTACTAATTCTTAAGGTTGTCAATGACATTAGATCTCGAGGGTAAATTTTATCATTTTTTCAGCAAAAGCAATATTTTATATTAGGAAAAATCGTTCAAAACGTCTCTCACATTTTACAAAATGACTTTTTTTTCCCCTCACTTTTAAAAGTGTAATTTTACGTCTCTTACAAATTCACATTGACCAAATTTGGTCCCTACCTAAGTTTTTGACTAGTTTTTTGTCGGAATCCACCACGTGACTTACACGTGATCATATTTTAAGGGCAAATTTGTCAAATCAAATTTTATATAATTCGATTCATAATCTCTCACATTTCATAAAATAAATTTTTTCATCCCTTATATTTCACAAAATGAATTTTTTCATCCTTCACATTTTTCAAAATGAAATTTTTCATCTTTTATTGATCATGTGTGTGAATAATTTTTTTTTAAATCCATGTATATATTTATTTGATTTCACCTGAACATTACGAATAGCATGTGAAATCAAATAGAGATATATTACACACTATTCGTATTGCTCAAGTGAAATCAAATAGATATATACCTAGGTTTAAAAAAAATTATTAGTTTTTCACTTATATTCATTTTCTTTTACTCGAAATTTGAAAATAAAGAAGACATTTAATCCTAAATATTATCGAGTGTTTATATCGAATTAAATTTGAATAGAAAAAGTAAACAAAAGAAAAGTATGACAAAAAGAAATAAGTGATTGACACTTTCAAATTTTAACAAAATCACAAGGCAAGTAATTCAACTGTTGGTCTTAAAAGTGTCGAGTAGAAATTTCAGATTTAAACTGACATTTGTTAGCACAATTATAGAATTCGAGTTAGGACCCATTAATTAGAAAACCTTATTATATAACTCAATAAATAAATTATTACCAAAAGAGAAATGTCACAAATATTGAATAGGTTCAAACGGTGAAATCATATAAATATGTACACAGGTTTCAAACAAAATTATTAGTTTTAAACCCCTATATATATCTATTGAATTGCATGTGTATAACTACGATTAGCATATTTAGATGAAATTCAATAGAAATAAATTACATGTTATTCATACTATTTAGGTAAAATTAAATAGACATATACGTGGGTTTATAGAAAAAAACTATTTGTATACATGATCAATAAGGGATAAAAAAATTCATTTTGAAAAATATGAGGGATTGAAAAATTCATTTTTTTAAATGTGAGGAACGAAACAACTCATTTTGTAAAATGTTAGGGATGAAAAAATTCATTTTGTGAAATGTGAGAGACTATGAATCAGATTATGTAAAAATTTGGTTTGACAATTTTGCCCTTAATAAATGATCGCATGCAAGTCACGTGGTGGATTCTGGTCAAAAACTAGTCGAAAACTTAGGTAGGAACCAAATTTGGTCAATATGAATTTGGAAGGGACGTAAAATTACGCTTTTAAAAGTGAAGGACGAAAAACGTCATCTTATAAAATATGAGAGACGTTTTGAACGATTTTCCCTTTATATTATAATTATTTAAGGAATGAGTTTTTCTTATAAACTGATGTTGTATATGGTATATGCTAGGAATGAATGTATATGATACATGTACAGAATTTGAATTCTATATTTTACATACATGGAGTGTATCTAAATTAGTTGGTATATACTAGACTGGCGTAGAAAAGTTTTAAATATTAACATTAAAAAAAAAGATAATTGGTAAAGGTTTCAATGGGATAAAATCTATCAACTATTCCTGCCAAATGTCACGCTGGACATATTTAATTTTGATTTTTTAGAGTTTAATGGGAAATGTTACTTGTACTTCTATTTTTGGTTAATCACATTTCTACTATCATTCTAATTATATAATTTTTGTTTATTAGACTATATGATAATATAAACGATATGACAATGAGTGTAAATAATAAAAAATAGGATTCAAATGACATTTCTCAAGTTTAACAATGGATAGTGCGAACTCTAAACCGTTCTTAGTTATATGTTAGTTAGTGTAAATGGATAGAAAACAATTGTAAGATTTTTTTTTTTTACGACAACGACATTTTTATAACATAATAATCTATCTTAATCTAGCAGGAGAGAAGGTTAAAGAAGTTGTATATAAAAATTTAGTAGGTATAAGAATTTGACTAGATCAAAAGGTGCTTTGACACCTTTTTTAAATTTTTCGTTGAAAATGGGATTCGAACTCCCAATCTACGGTAAAATTTAATCCCTTTTTAGGGGCGACAAGGCGTTGGCTTGATTGTAAGACCAATGAGAGACGAACCAATGAGAGCGAAATTCGTCCGCACAGAAATGTTGTAGAGTTTCGACTGACGCAGAGCTGAGGGGCATCCAACCTCATGGCTGAAGTGTCAGTTGTTAATTAATTAATTAATTAATTAATTGCTAGGCTGCTTTGAAGAAGTCGGACCGAGTTTCGGAGGTTTCGGCTTCGGAAGCAGAAAGAGACAATAATATTATTGGATCCGTCTACGCCTGCCTAAAGCTAACTACTAACGAGACTAATGACAGTAACGGTGGTTTGCGCTGATGTTGATACTATTAGTCGTCGTCTTAGACACCGTTTATGATTGATTGCGATTGCGTTGCGTTTATAAAAAAAATTCTGTTTTATTTAAGCACTAAAAGCATTCTTACCATATTTGATAATTAATCAACTTTCCAAGTCTACCAACAACCTAGAAAGTACACGGTAGGACTTGACTTTAAATCAAGCCAAGAATTTTTGTGAGGAAAAAGGGTCAAATAATAACTAATAATAATAAAAAAAGAAGAAGCAGTCAAAACAATCAAATACCATATGTTAGACTGATAATCAAGATTTTTATTTCGGAAAGAGACTTGAAATGATAAATATGAGGTCCCAAGTATACAAAGGAAAATAATCTCCCATCAAGTATGTAAAACTAATACTACTACTACAAGAAATTATCAAGACACAAAATACTACTATAACAAACATATTGATACAACTAGTTATTTGTTCACATCTGATCGAGGGATTTACTTCTATTTCGTTTCCCTGCACACTCTTCTATAGATCATAATGAAATATTTTAGCTGTGCCTAAAAGATATGCTCATCATCAAGTTTGAATGCTTTAAATACTTGTGACATGAACATTAAGGCCTGTATGTCTTTTTAGCTGCAGTAGAAATACCTTACAATAATGTTATGCTCTTAGTGGCAGAACGCCGTTTCTAAAATACTCTTGCATGGAAATCTGCATTCTCCTTTGTTGACATTTGGTAATTAAAGAAAGCCCTCTTTTGGGTTCCTGTCACTTCTTTCTTTAGCCAAGGCCTGAGAACAGATGTTTGGTTCGTCCGTTCTTGGTAGAGGAAATTGTCGAAGGAAATTATGCCACCTTTTGATTGTTCTATCTTCTAGCAGCTTTTAGTAATGATGAGTTGACTGTTGCTTTTACTTTTAGTTGGTCCGTATTGGAGTTTGGGCCTCTCTGCATATGTTCTGTTGTGGGATCGGATGTGATTAATTCCGACTTAGTCTCAGCTATACCCTTCACAGTGTGAACTGTGACTGGGAGGGCTGAATAGAGCATGCAATTCAATATTACCCACCCGTTTGTCATTTTCACTTGGAAACATCTGAGAAGAGCTGAATAGATATAAAAATTCAATGATCGTCATTATCTTCTAATATTGACGAAAGATTGTGGAAATTCTTGAGCGAAATTAAGGATCTGTAGTCATGAATTTTATAACACAAGCAATTTGGTATAAAACAACTCTCCATCTTCTCTATTCTAGAAAGGGGTTACCAGTTTCCTCTTCTTTCTAATACTCCATATGATGTAGTTTTAGGTAAAGATGATGCTTCATATTGTGATCATAGTTGCAGTGTCAATACTTCTCATTGTTGACACAAATCTGGTCTCAGTCTCGGGTTCCTGTCCCATAAACCTGAGTTATGTTCTAACTGTACCCTGGGATTCATCTGCCTGCCAGAATCACCGGCAGAACACCAAAACAAATGGTCATGAGACTCGTGACGGCAGCAGTTCTGCTTCTAGCATATGCTGCCAGACGCTAACCAGCCTCTACGGCATTGGCCTTGCTCAAAACCTGAAACAGACCAATCATTTCAGACTTCCAGACCTTAACACTTCCATTTCTTGTTTATCGGATTTCCAATCGAAGCTCGATTCCCTCTCCTTACCATCCCATCTGACATCAATGTGTTTTGAACCTGTGCATTTTGTAAAGGGTACTAATCTGTGTGCCAATATCCATACCAAGCAAGACTGGCTGGATGTGGTCGGCCCGTCTACCTCCCTGGACCCTGCCTGCTGGCCAGACGTATCTGATCTGACTTTCTGTGATGCCTGTGTGCAAGCTGGTTTTAAGGTTCATTCTCAACTGCTGGCCGTTGACCGCAATAGTTCTCATGCCAGAGGTTGCTTTTACTACACCGTTCTATATGCTGCAGGTATCGTGAATCAGTTAGGCCCCGAGAGCTTAGGTGCAGTCTCGTGTATCCTTGGACTGCCCATGTCCTCGAATAGGAGATCTGATTCTGACAGTACGGGGAAATTAGCTCTCGTTTCTGGGGCTGCTGCAGCTGGTTCTACTATTGCTGTCATTTGTATTTTAGTGGTTTTTTACACTTTCTGGAAAAGTAGGAGAAAAAGGAAGAGATATCCAGAAGACGAAAGGGCTTTGGAGGCTGACCATGATGTTGATGATGTTGATGATGATGATGATGGCTCATGGCGAAATTGGAGCCCTATGGCTGGATCTTTATGGTTCAAGATTAAAGAACTTGAGGAGGCAACTGATTATTTCTCGCCGAAGAACTTCATTGGGAGAGGTCAATTTGGAATTGTGTACAAGGGAATTTTGAGGGATGGAACTGTGGTTGCTGTCAAGAAAATCACCGACCCCGAATTTGAAGGGGATGCTGAGTTTTTAAATGAAGTTGAAATCATCGGCAATTTGAGGCATCGAAATCTAGTGTCACTGAGAGGATGTTGCGTCTCAAAAAGAAATCAGAGCCATAGATACTTGGTTTATGATTATATGCCGAATGGAAATCTAAACGATCATTTGTTCGCTTCTCGAGAACGTCATAAAAGGATTCGCAGAAAGCCCTTAACCTGGCCCCAGAGGAAGAACATAATCTTGGATGTTGCCAAGGCTCTAGCTTATCTTCATTATGGGGTAAAGCCCTCGATTTATCACAGAGATATCAAGGCCACAAACATATTGTTAGATGCACATATGAGAGCACGAGTTGCAGATTTTGGGCTAGCAAGACAAGGTAGAGACAGTGGATCTCATCTTACAACCAGAGTAGCAGGAACTCATGGATATCTAGCTCCTGAATACGCACTTTACGGGCAATTGACTGATAAGAGTGATGTTTATAGCTTTGGAATCGTGGTTTTGGAAATCATGACCGGGAAAAAAGCTCTGGACCTGTCATCCTCTGCTGATTCTCGCGACATATTCTTTATCGCAGATTGGGTTTGGTCACTTGTTAAAGTTGGGAAGATGGAGGAAGTTCTTGATCCTTCACTGCAGAGAAATGCAGAGTCAACAAGCAGAAATCCTGTGGGGGTAATGGAGAGATTTTTGATGGTGGGAATTCTGTGTTCTCATCTCATGGTGGCTTTAAGGCCTAACATTTTGGATGCCCTGAAAATGCTTGAAGGAGATATTGAGGTCCCTGCAGCATCAGATAGGCCAAGTTATGCTGATAGAAGTACCTTATACTCTGTATATACATCTGGTAGGCATCAGATAAAACAATCTGTTTTATAGCTCGAATTTGATAGTTTACTTTTTTTAATATACATTAAAGAAAGCAGTTTCAATTCAAAATTTTGGACCAGATTATAGCTCTTAAGAGTTCATATGCTATAAAATCACTGGGGAAGCAGACACATAACTCCTCCATTTGAAACAAGTCCAAGCTTTTGCGCTGGATGAGCTGACCATTTCAACCACTGACAAAACATCAATCCACTGATATATGTATTACCCATATCTCAATGGTATGAATATGACATCAACATAATCTCTTCCTTTGTAAGTTCCACCAGTAAATACTGCCTCCCTCACAAAAACTGCCAGCCTCAGAATGCTACAGGTTAATCGAAGCCGGACTTAAATCCTGTTTCCAAGCACAAATGCTAAGATTTTACCTATCAATCATTCTCAACATGAACATTATTCGGAGATTCCTCTGGCAGCTAGTTTTACTTTTGGGGCATATGCAATTGGTTTTGATTCCCCTGGAAATTCTGCTGTGCAGCATCAATCATCAAGCAATCGTTCTTGTAATGTTCGCCTACAATGCAAGACTTCTTCTGAGAAAAAAGAAAAATGCAAGTGCTAGCTGAGACTACGTGAAATAGATAAGTAAACAAAGTATTAACAAAATGAAAATCCGGTTTTATATTCTAGCATTACACATTTTCCAATAAGAAGATTTTTCTTTGTACATTTCTAACAGCCAGCAATTCTACGAGATAAATTTCTTGAAAACAAGTAGTAATACGCATGTCCATCGAAAATCTGTTAACGGCTAAATCCCACTCAACCTATTACGTACATGCACCCACTAGTAGTTAATTTCTTCCATTATATTTATACATATAGTTTTCCTAATTAAATTTACTTTTCCAAAAATTTCACACGTGAAGTATATCTAAACAAGTGTCCGATGCACATCACCTACGAAGTAACGAGGAAAAGAATTTCGACCAGTACCGGCCGTTATATAATTAAAAAAAAAAAAAAAACGTTCCATAACCCTTCCTACTTTGGCTTTGCTTACCATTTCCGGAGATCATACGCCTTACTACACAACTGTACGGTGCAAAATTCTCTCCCTTCTTTCTCTCTCTCTTCCTTTCCCTCTGCGTCTCTCTGAAACCTTGGTTCTTGCATCATCATCATCTATCTGGCTCTCCTCTTTCTCTGTAGTCGTCGTCCCTCGGTGATGGCAGATCCTGTTGCGAGGTCGCCTCCAGCGAATTTGTATAGCATTCTTGGAATCTCCAAAGCTGCATCCCTTGCAGATATTAGCAAGGCCTACAAATCTTTGGTTATGAAATGGCATCCCGATAGAAATACATCCAATAAAGCTGAAGCTGAAGCCAAGTTCAGCACCATCAACGAAGCCTACAGGGTTTGTAACATTATCCTTGGAATTATTTCTTGATGAATAGCCCTTCATCATATATTGTTTGTTTTGTTTTGCTTTCCATCTCTCTGTTTCCTTCCCCCTTCAAGACTGTATCTATTAACACGTTAAATATCATCAATGTCCTCCCTCCTCATGCAATGCATGTAGATCATGCAAAAGCTTTATTCATCGTAATTTTGCGATGTTCTTCACATTTTCATCGACACCATTGTTGGGTTTTCTGAAAAAATAAAAACAGGTTCTGAGTAGCAAAAAACGAGAGGAAATAAATGGAACCAGTCATGATGATCCAAAAACACCGGAAAATTCATATCACCATCGATCCTCCTCAGATGATGATGGACAATTCGTGATTTCCAGCCCTACGCTGCTTTCCAGCACAAGCACCCGCATCACCCCTACAGGCACTCCAAGGTCGTCGGACGGTTCGAGCCACAGGGGATACTACAGCGGTGCTCCTTCGCCCAGAAATTTCTATGGCCATTCGAGAAGTCCCAACGGGACTGATACCCCATCAACCCCGACCACCCCAGAGCCACCCCTCGTTTCTTTATCAAAAATAACCAGCAAAAGAGCCACAAACCCCATTATTTATTCACAGACTACGGCTCGGAGGAAAGCTCAGCCCATACAGAAGAAGCTCGAATGCACGCTGGAGGAGTTATGCCACGGATGTGTCAAGAAGGTCAAGATAACCAGAGATGTCATCTCAAATGCAGGGTATGCTTCACCCTTCATCATTTGTCTGAGAGGCTTTCCTCCTCTTTTTTTTTTTTTTTTAAGAAATGAGGACTCTCTGAGAGGCTAGAACGCTAGATACTTAAAAAACTTTTTAAACAACGTGTGATTCTGAGAAAGCAAATGTTAAGGATCAATCTAGCAAATGAAGCAACAAAATGGCCTTACCTACTTACATTAAGCAATTGCAGAACTGTGTGAATGATATGTACTACGTCATACTCAAGAATCTTCTGATGGTATTTACCATTGTGGTGGTAACAGGATCATCGTTCAAGAAGAGGAGATACTGAGGATCAAAGTAAAGCCAGGGTGGAAGAAAGGAACGAAGATCACATTCGAAGGGAAGGGGGACGAGAGACCGGGAATGCATCCAGCGGATATAATCTTCATAATCGATGAGAAAAGACACCCCCTTTTCAAGAGAGAAGGTGATGATTTGGAGCTGGGAGTTGAGATCCCCTTAGTTCAGGCTTTGACAGGATGTACAATTTCTGTTCCTTTATTAGGAGGGGACCAAATGGATTTATCCATAGGTGATATAATATTCCCAGGGTACGAGAAAATCATTCCCGACCAAGGCATGCCCATCTCTAAACAACATGGTAGGAGAGGAGACCTTCGGCTCAGGTTCCTTGTTGAATTTCCGACAGATTTGAGCAAACAACAGCGCTCGGCAGTCGTTCGTATTCTTGAAGATTGTTGTTGATATCAGCAAGACCTGTGTCGTTGTTCCTCTGGTCTTTAGCAGAATTAATCAGTTTGCCTCACAGAAATATGTAAATGGTGTTAGTATTAGGCAGAACATCAATGTACTGGCTCATATAGATATGCTAACTTATCTCTGAAGATGCATCCCAGCAATACATCTTTGAATAGAACAAGCAAATTATGCCTTGCCGGAGATGACTGAGCTTTGAATAGAACAGAGAATTTTGAGATGAGGAAGTTCTAGGAACAATATGCAAACCTCTCTTTCTTTATATTAGGAGTTCATGTTAACATATTTTTCTTCAGTTTTCCATGTAGCAATCTACAAGGTAACAAGGCTCGAGCCACCAACACTGTGCAAACAAAATGAATATTGCTATACGGCAGCATAACCAGGTTTTTGGCAGGAACAAAAGCTTTCACGAAGTAGCCCTAAACCTCCAATCTATTGTTCTCGCAGATGCTCAACTTCACCCCTGTTATATTTCCAAGGAAACTAAAAGCCATGTAAACATATTGAGCTTCTTGAAATCCAACCAAGAAGGGTACAAGACTAACTAGTCTTGCCTTCGTACTTGAAATCAAGGTGTCAGGTCTTTGATAGCACACGCTGTTGAGCAAGAAAAGGCACTTCCACCACTGTCCCAACAACATTGCCTCCAACAATTACAGTGTCTCCCTTCGATGCAGCTTTCCTCTTGATATAGCCTAATCCAAAAGGCTCAGAAGCTCTTTTACCTGCTGTGATGCTCGTCAACTTGCCAACCTGCACAAATTATAACAGATGCTTATTTTCCAAATAGAGAACTTCATTTGAGTAGGAAAACAGATTAAGGGACCAGGAATAAATCAATTTCCAAATGTAGTTGCTGTCTAATCCACAACAATAAACCTCCTTTATAACTTATCCCAACAAAGAACAGATCATTCTCGAGCATAGTGCTGCATTTGAAGTTTCCAAAGTCAAAATGACTTACAATATATCAACCCTTTACAGAAATGAAATTTATGTGATGTGTGTACACAATCAAATCAAGATTTAGTTCAAAAGAAAATCCGCACCTTTTTCCCATCAACTGTAACAGCACTGCCCACTTCCACAAGTGATGATAACCTGATACCCCACAACCTCTGCTTGACACCATCATATGTTACAAGTCTAGAAATTGTTTCTTGTCCCTTATAACACCCTGAAAATTACTTACTACATGAGAACAATGACAAAAGCACTGATTCACACCAGTATATCACATAGGATATCATGGACCTTTGTTCAAAGAAACTCCATTCCACAGATGAGCCTCCAGAACATTAAATTCATCTGTAAGCTCTTTACCAGGAGCTGGCCTTCCTGCTTATGTTGATCACGTTAGAGCTCTATATCATAAACATGAAATGATTGAAAGTGTACCCAACAAAAACAATAATAATGAACAGAAGAGAACACATAGCGAGCCACTGGTAAAAGTAAAGAAGGGAATAGAAGGACTAAAACCCTTGCCCCTGGTTGGTAGACCCTCCTCTCCTCCAAGGGGCAGGGAATAAGGCACAGTGGGTCTAATATCCACATCCACTTGACATCCAGTACCAAAAAATTCTTCTCTGGAGAGTATTTAGATCATTGCCACAATATCTATCTCTCTCTCTCTCTCTCTCTTTTTCATCAAATTATGGATAAAATTATCCTTTCTACATTTTCTTGTATCACCCTTCCCTCCAGTGGAGAAATTAGACCTTTGCTTCATTTGACTTATCTTTCATGCCAGACACAGTATTAGCCGTACAGAAAATGCAGGTTACAGAGTAAGATGATAAAACTAAGCAAAGTTTGGAAATGCCATTGAGGGAACATGTCATGTAAGGCCAAAATGAAACAAGGTTATATCTAGAATGGCATAATTTGGAAAAGATTCAAAAATTCCTAAAAAAAAATACTAAACTGAAGAAGATACAAAAAGAAAACCTTGAAGAATCCGAAATGTTTCCCATGCGCCAGAACCCATTGTGATTGCACCTTGGGCAACAAGAGCTTTCCATACCGTTCCAGCACTATCTGATGACATCAAGAATGAAAAACCTTCCTCAGAAATAACATTTCCCACAGCTACAGTTACAGGCTTCCCATTTACCTGCACAAGTGAAAAAGTTCATATTTCTTGGATAGGAAGTGTTGTTGAATTAGCTAACAATCTTACTCATTCCAAAGACCTATTTTTGCTTTTGTCTCTGTGTGTGTGTGTGTGTGTGTGTTAAATAAGAATATTAAGCCAAATAAGATCTCTGATGCAATAATTATCCATAGTGAGAATGCTGGGATACAGATGAGGTACTGACCTCAACATGTCAAATCATTTGCACAAAATAACTGACCTTCATATATAAAGACAACCTTATAGTTTGTTCATCCAAGACATTGCAATTTGACCCATTGTCCAGTATGCTAGGCTATCAACACTTCTAAGAAATTGGTGAAGAAATGTCAACAACTAAAAAACAACGCAAATGACAACAATGAAGTCATTTGAGTACTGGAACGGGAGAGAATTTATTGGTGTGCTTTTATTCAATTACATGCATAATAACCAAAACCAGGAAACTCATGTTCATTCTCTCCTTTCTCACAATCACTCAACAGAAGCCCCTCTGCGCCCCCCCCCCCCCCCCCCGCTCTCCTCCCAAAAGACACAAAATTCAGTTTAGGAGAAAAACCAATAAGAACTACAGAGATTAGAAGTACACATGGAGATCTGAAATTGTGAGTGTATTATATGTTGGCTGTTTTACAGATTTAACCAGCATAGACATTCTGTTCAACTCTAATTGACCAGATAGAAGGAAGACAAACAATTAATGGATAAATAGGAATCTTTAGAGGTATCCAATTGAGATATAGAAGCCATGTAACACCAATAAAACAACACTATCAAACCACTATTCTTTTCATCACCAATGAGTTAACTCATTAGCAATTCTTTGGCATATTCATTGGTGATTAACCATGCATTCAAAAATCATCACTAGCAGCCCAGGCATAAAAATTTTGTCCACCAGAAATGAGTATTGGCAATTTGGTATGAACATTTGAGAAAGTTTTGCAGATCAAATTACACTGTAATGATTATGTGAGCCATAAGGCTGTCCAATAAGGTCGATAAGGCCCAATCTCTCCATTATCTGTTCATGAAACAAAACATAGAAATTAGTTTGGTGCAAAAGAAACTTAATGTAGGTACTAGGAACTTCACTATTGAACTTAGCATTGCTTACTTGGTTGCTTGCAGGTCCAACTAATGCAAACATGCATGTTTGCTTGGTGATGTCTTGAATTTCTACTTTATCAGAAATAAAAATGTACCTTCAATCAAATAAAATTAGTATGCAATTAGAAAGTCTTACCTGTTGAAAAAATATATTAATTTGGATGCCACAATCACAAGATAAAAATAGCTTTTTTTTTTCTTCAAAAGTTATTTGCCTCAGTAAAATGGAATAAATTTCTAATATCACAATGGAAGATTAAGGGTTCTTGCTCTGTATCACACTAGCTCTTTTACTGCCAAGGTTTAAACAGTGACAGGATACAGTTACAAATGTAACAAGGAAAACAGTCTCAAAATGAGCAGTATCTGACAAAAGAAGCAAGGTCAAATTATGCACAGTAAACAATTTAAAAAATTAATCTTGCAGTATGAACATACTTCTCCAGCATTTTAGATATGCTTTCACAGGTCACGGGAGAGACCACCAATGTAATTGCATTTTTCTGCAGACATAGCATATCAACATATTCTTTACACAAAAGAAAAACCGATAGGTGCCAAATATTGGAAAAATCCCACAATTTAATTAGCCCAAGAGCAGGGAAGAGCTACCATGATCCATGCAAGCGCAATATCAATTGTCCTAGCTGTTGGTGTCACAAAAACAGTGTCGCATCCCTAAAGGATGTACAGTCATTACTCCCAGCACAATGATACTAGAAAAAAAATTAAGTAGTTTTGCTTCCAAAAATGAAGATGCAGTACAACACTAAAAGTACCTGGCCTACACTAAGACATTCAAAATTTGCAGTGCTTTGGTTGTGAAGAAATTGAATTCGGTCTTCTCCGCCAACTTTATGCCAACAAACATAAAAATCATTAAGTGACAAAAGATGATAAGCAAAGTAAGGAAGGATAGTAAAAGAGAGGATCGAACAAATCACTGAAGGAAGTGGCCCAACAGTTTTGCTGTGTCATAGCCCAACTATCGATGCATGCATTCATTAGCAAACATATTTTACGAACTGGAAGGCTAACACATGTTAAGAATCTTCACAAACTATCCTTGAAGATTATGCAAGTGTCAATCTGATCTTAAAGTATTTGATTAAGAAAAATCACACCTCAACAGTCATTAAAAGTCTGAACACACCAATAAGCCGTAGTTGGGCATTAAGAGTAGATTTCAAGCATCTGCTGGTGTCAATATGCTGTTGTCACGTGAATGCAAGTTGAGACAACTTCCCACTTCCTCGACCCAAGTTATGATTTTCTCATGCCATATATTATCAGGAAAATTCTCCATTAAGCTAATGGCAAGGTTAACACCATAAATGTTGCTTGGAGAACAGGAAGAAATTTTGCTACAATTGTTGTCATTGAAATAGGAAATTTTATGTGGATATGGCAACCAGCCTATTAATCTGAAAAATTGATAGGGAGATTGGACGTTTCAAGAACCAGGTCATTTGCTTTATAATATTTTCCCTCCTGGTAAGAAAATTGTACTTTGACGCATATAACCAACACCCAGCGTCATTTGAAATATGTGCTTTAGGGCCGGTTCTCAAGACAGCAGTTGTAAACAAAAAGTTTACCCAATTTCACTGAACTAGCGGTAAAATAAAATATGGAATCTTTTGTAGGATTTGGTTACCGCATAAAGGGTTCCTTTTCATTTTTCTTCTTAAACTTACTCAACTTCCCATGTGTTGTGTTGGAATTAACATATTTCAATTGGACGTTGAATATCAAGAGCTTGAGCACATACGGTTTTCCAGGGTACATTAACGGTGATATTACTGGAAACAACCTGAGTTACGTGTTAGGAAACCAAGAGACAACAAGAACAACAACAAAGTGGAAATATGTTACCTCTTATGCGACCATAATGTGATAGATCCACTACCTAGAATAACAAGCAGAAAATGAAATTGTTTAGAAATTAACCTATGTAAAATAGGACCAACTCA